CGAAGAACAGTACCCAACATAGTATCAAGAATAATAGGAGTAGGGAGGGCCGTGATTTGAGGACGATGAGGAGCAGCAGCGCGTCAGGTACCTCTTGCGGAGAAGAAGTGCCTGGAGCTACTCCAGGGCTTGGCAAGGACACCGGGGCGCAAGCCCCCGATCACGTCTATTCATGAGAGGGGTTCGACCGGCTACAAGTAGGTAAGTAGTGCCAGGTTCCCCCCGCCGTTCGTCCGCCGCGCGGCGCTAGTGGTAAGTCATCCAGATTCATGTCGTCGTTCGTCGCGGTCACCACTTCACTTGGGGTAAAGCACCCACATTCGGGAAGGAATGCGCGTGGGGCCCCATCGGCCCCGATCCTTTCTGGAAAACCAATGGCTTTTTGACCGGTTCTCTGGATTGGGGATTTTCGTATATCTTTTTGTTTTCGTCTTGCGATCCCGGCTCAGAGACAACAACATCCAAGAGATACAATGCCAACATTTTGGAAGGAATGCGTGTGGGGCCCATCGGCCCCTGTTCCTATTGGAAAACGAATGGTTTCTAAACCAGTTCTCCGGATTGGGGATTTTTGCATATTTATTTTATTTTTTTCGTCTGCTGGTCCTGGCTTGGAGACCGAATCCATGAGGCAAAAGCACGAACATTTCGAAACGAATGCGCGGCGTGGGCGCGTGGGGCCCCATTGGCCCCGATTCGTTTCAGGAGTTGTGGAATGTTTTTGTTTGCACGGATTCGTTCAGGAATCTATTCATTTAAAGTTCGCAGGTTTGCGTAGAAGTGCTATTATGTTCTCCAGTTATTTGCTCATCCAGAAAAATAGCATTTAGAGGTTATTTTATGTGTTGTTCGTCGCTTGAGCAGGGTAGTTCACGTCGAAATGCGACTTTGTTTGTCGTTGATCGAGAACGGTGGGTATGTTTCTTGATGTCGCGTTCTTTGTCGATCACAAAGGGACTTCATTATTCAGGAAAATCCGTTCGTTTGTAGTTTTTCCCCAGTATGTAGTTTAAAATATAGAGACCCCCCTCATGTCTATTCGCTGCTCATCCGGCAGGGGGTCCGCGAGGAGGAGCAGGAGGAGGAGGAGGAGGAAGAGGAGGAGGAGAATAAGGAGGAGAATAAGGAGGAGGAGGAGGAGGAGGTGAAGAATGAGAAGGGCTCCTCCAGGGAGGAGCGGGGTTCGAGGATCGAGGCTTTTGACCGTCTCTGCTCCGGGGGGCGGGGGGGCCTCCCGAGGCGGGGAGCTCCAGAGATATCGGGAGACCCCCAGGGGGCCGCCGCCGCGCCGGACGCGCCGCGCACCTGGTGGAGGCAGCCTGGCCTGGACGGGGACGTGCCGCCTGCGGGCGTGGAGCTGTCGCCTGTGGACACCGACGCGCTGGGCGCTACTCGGGCCAGAGTTCTCGGGCCCCTCCAGAAGCCTCCAAGGCGGAGGAGGAGGAGGAGGAGGAGGAGGAGGAGGAGGAGGAGGAGGAGGAGGCCGCGTTCCCGGTCGGCGAGTTCGGGGAGGAGCACAGCCCGCTTCGCTCCGTCAGGATAGGGAAGTAGAAATGGCAGTGGAATCCCAGTGGAAACGGAAGTGGAAATGGAAATGGACATTGAAATGGATGATGAGGGGGGTAAGGGGGAGGAGGGGGAGGGGGGGGGAGGAGGGAGAGAGGAGGAGGAGGAGGAGGAGGAGGAGGAGGAGGGAGGAGGAGGAGGAGGGGGGAGGGAGGAGGAGGGGGAGGGGAGGAGGAGGAGGAGAGGAGGAGGAGGAGGAGGAGGAGGAGGGAGGAGGAGGAGGAGGAGGCGGAGGAGGAGAGGAGGGGGAGGACGAGGAGGGGAGGAGGAGGAGGAGGGAGGAGGAGAGGAGGAGGCGGAGGAGGAGGAGGAGGAGGGGGGAGGGAGGAGGGAGGAGGAGGAGGAGGAGGAGGAGGAGGAGGAGGAGGCTCCGTAGCCATTTTGGCTCAAGTCCGTAGCGGTGGCTCAGAGGACTTAGAGTTTTTGTGGCAAGGGGATTTGCGGCCCCATCTCGATCTTCAGTGTTCTTCTGATACTCTTACTGGGGCTTGTCCCCACCTTTTCTACCATCACGTTCGTTTCAGGCACTCTCTGTACTCGTGTGCGATGGCGCGTAATGCTTCTTCTCTCGGTGCTGACGCTTGGGTTTATCACCCGTGGGTTCGGCAGGGGGGAGGTGGCGGCGCTGCGCACCACACTCCACAGTCCAAGAGTGCATGTCCGTCCTGCGGCTGCCGTCGCAACCTGCCGCATTTCAAGTGGTGCAAGCACTGCCATTCCGACCTGCCGAAGGTTCAAGGCGCCCCTGTCCAGCCTGCCTCTGGTGCATGGGCGCGAGGTTTCGGGTCTGCTGAAGAGGAGGTTGAGGCACTTGTTCGCATGGACGGCAAGGGCAAGGGAGGGCGCAAGGGCCACGGCAAGAAGGGCAAGGGCAAGGGCTCCGAACTTGCAGCTGCAGGCAAAGGTGCTCGTGCTGCGGCTCTTCCCGATGTTCCACATGGAACTCTGCCGCCTGGACCTGTGCCCCGCTTGTCCGCCATCGAAGCCAAGCAGCTCGCCGAGTTGCATTCGAAGGCAGGAGAAGAGCAGCTGGCAGCCATGTACCGTGCCATCGCCGTCTCCCTCGACAAGTCGGAGCGCGCCCCTGCGCCGTCTCTGCAGCATCAGGTTCAGTCCGCCCACGCTGCTGTCCGTCGCAAGGAGCGGGCACTTCAGGTCGAGTTCTCGAAGCTCAATCGTTGGAGGGCCGAGCTGGAGGAGCAGCGTAAGAAAGTGGCTGAGCTTCACTCTGAGTTGGGCGAGGCAGATGCCGCATACAAGAAAGTCGTCCTGGAGCTGCAGCAGCAGGTGCCATCTGAGCCTGCACCCGCAGCGGTGGCCCAGGTCACTCTTGAGCAGCTGGTGGACGGCACCGTCTCCATTGACAAGATCATCTCGACTGACGTGCTCGAAGTTGCTGATGACGCCTACGACCTTGAGGAGCAAGACCGTAAGGATATCCAGCAGCGTAAGGATGAGTTGTCCGAGAAAGTGCGTGAGGCAGCCAAGGCATTGTTCCAAGACGCGTTGTCGAAAATCAAGGAGGCCACGGAGCAGCACTCCAAGCACCTCGAGAGGCTTGGCAAGAAGCGCAAGACTGGCGCTGGCAACGTCTCAGACGCCGCTACGCTGGGAGGCGAGGCAGCTGCTGCAGGTGAAGGGTCTGGTCAGTCTACTGGGGCTGGGCCGTCGTCTGCTTCCTCTTCGGGGTCACGGCCTGAGCCTCCTGAGCCTGACATTCGCATTTTGGTTGCAGACGAGCTTTCCAATCCTCTCCCCCTCCCTGGGAAGGGAGGGGGACAATAATTCCACAAATGTGAGTGAGTCTTTGCCGCTTATGAATCGCAGTTTCGCTGAGCTTGACAACTTTCTCTTGGAGCTTCACGCTTGGATGAGTGTTCCTAGTGATGTTCCCAGGAGCTTTTGCACGCCTGCCACCAGCAGGGGGCTGAAAAGGGAGTTTTGCACATTCCTGTCTGCCATGCCGTTCGTAGCTCAGCCTATTTCACTTTGGCCCGTCGGCAAGGCCAACTGCATCTCTCCCCCCAATCTGGCCAGGGCCCAGGACCCAGGCGAGGACCAAAGGGGCGTTGTCAGTGTGGCCTTGGAGGTTTGGTCTGTTAATTGCAACAAATGGGGCGCGATGAAAGATTTCTTGGAGGATCCCGAATGTTCGGCTCACATCATCCTTTGCCAAGAGCACCGCCTCAGGGACCCTGAGTCGATCGACCGTGCCTCCGCCTCTGCGATTCGTGCGGGCTGGAAATCCATCTGGCTGGCTGCAGTTCCAGGCCCGCAAGGTGGAGACAGTGCTGGCGTGGCTATTTGTTGCCAGGTCTTGGCTTGGGCTCCACTCTGTGCCTTCCCCAGCCATTGCTCGGGGCCGCTGCCTAGCCTGCAAGTGTCACGCTCCTGACAGCCCAGCGTTACTGCTGGTCTCTCTTTATCGTCACCACTCCGTGGGGCTCGACGCCTCCAACGGGGGCATCCTCAGCGACCTGGGGGAGTTCGTGAGCAGTCAGTCGGAGGAATACATCATAGGTGGGGACTTTAACTTCGGGCCAGACTTATTAGAAGGCATGGGGTTTGCTAAAGCTGTGGGGGGGTCTCCTCATCACCACCCCCGACAATGCCCATTATCCTTCCTTGGGTGACCCGTCCAAGTTTGACTACTTCGTGGTCTCGCCCCCCCTGGCCAAGGGCCCCAACGAGGCCAAAGTCCGACTCGACACGACGCTCAACCCCCACCGCCCCGTGTCGCATACTTTCCACCCTCGTCTGCTTCAATTGAAGGCTCTCGCCTTTCGCAAGCCGCCGCCCTTGCCTGTGGACCCCCCGTTCGGCCCCAGGCCGCAGGAGTGCAGCACTGATTGGGATCTGGTGCTTGACCTGGTCAATACTGCTGTGGACAGAGTGTCCCTTGGGGACGGTGACGGGGCTGCTGCCCTGCTCTCTGAAGGGTACGGTCTCTGGGCGAATAGAGCCGAACTTGATCTCGCGAGGGTCCTGGGGGCCGATCTCCCTGTCTACGGGTCCCGCGGCAAAACTATTGAGACTTTTTGGAAGCCCATCTGCCAGGCGTGCGCTCCTCCCAAGGACCCCGTTTCCCGCGGTCTGAAGTGGTTGGAGACCCAGCTCAAGGCCTTGAGATCTGAAGTATTAGCACACAACGTTCCACTGCGGTGCATCAAGGCCTTGTGCTCTACGCCGCCGTGCGCTGGCACGGCTCGCGCCTGTCATGCTGGACTATTTCAACGTGCCACCAGCTTAGCCGCCTCTTGTGCTGATCGACTGGCTGGTCGCAAGCACTCGTCTGTTTGCTCGGCTCCGCCTGGAGCGCATCCTCCTCCCCCCGTTTTGCCCGTCGCGCTCGATAATCAGTGTCAGGACAAGGCGGATCTGGACGCGCGGTCCCCGCCCGCTTTCTCGGATTTGTGGCTGATGTTGATCAGCTGCTCGCATCTCTCGCGCCGTGCCTAGAGGAGGCCGCTAAGGACTTTGCTAAGGCTAACAAGCGCCGCTGGCGAGAATGGCTCCAAGAAGGTTTGGGCAAAGGGGGCAGGCGGGCCCATCACGTTCTTAGAGACCCCACCCCTTGGGTTCCCTCGGTCACCATTGCGGCGAACGGGCAAATTGTGGCGGACCCCAGGGCCCTTCTGTCTGCCGAAGGGAAGCGCTTTCAGGCGTGGTGGGGGGAGGGGAGCGGGCCTCCTGTGGGCCCTGTTCGTTTGGTCACCCCCCTGCCCCGCCTCTCCCCAGAGGAGACCCGCCAGGTCTGCAAGACTTACCGTAAACAGAGTGCGGTTTCGGTTGACGGTTTCCACCTTCGTCACTATTCGGTTTTGTGCGACGCCGCCCTCATTGCCCTCTCGGGGCCCCTGTGCGTCATCGAAGCCACGGGGAGGCTTCCTAATCAGTTAATAGTTGTGCTCGTGGCCCTCTTGCCCAAACCTGTCGGGGGCTTCAGGCCCATCGGGGTTTTCGTTTCGTGGCATCGGCTTCGGGGCCGCGCCAGGAGGCCTGTCGCTCTCGATTGGGAAAAGAAGTTTGCGAGGCCCTATTGGGCTGCTGGAGCCAATAGGGGTGCCGCGGATGTTGTCTGGAGGCAGAGCTTCAAAGCCGAAGCGGGAGTTACCAAGGGCCTCACTTCAGGGTCAGTCTTTTATGACCTTCAGAAGTACTACGAGAGCGTCTCCCTCGATTTCCTCGAGAATCAGTGTCAATGCCTTGGCTTTCCTGTAGTTATCACCAGGGTCGCCATGGCGGCCTATCGCTCGTGCAGGTTTCTCAGCCTTGGGGGCATCATCGATGGGGCCGTACTGGGTCAGTTGTGGGGTCGTAGCTGGGTGCTCGATGGCCACTTCGTTCATCCGAGCTTTCGCTCTTAAGGCCTTCGATAAGCTGTGCAATGTTCTGGCTAGTGGCACTGATTTCGACGCCTACATTGATGACACGTGCCTCTCGCACACGGGCACGGTCCCCGAAGTCGTGGAGGCACTAGTTTCTTCCTCTGTCAGCTTACACAAGGCTGTCACCCAAGAGCTCGGTTGCAGGCTGGCGCTCGACAAAGTGGGCTGTGTGTGCAGCCACAAGTCAATAGCAATGCAGCTCGAGGGGCGACTGGGAGAGTTGTGCGGCAAGCCCTCGGCCTCGGTGGTTAATTTGGGTACTGACTACACGGCAGGCCGCTCATTACGCACTACTACCCCAGGCTCAAAAAAGGGTACACCAGCCAAGCTTAAGGCACGTCAGGCCAAGTTGTTCCGTCAGTGCAGGCGCCTCGACAAACATAAACGCAACCTGGGCAGGTCCGCCGTCAGGATTTTTGCGTCGGGCCCGCTGGCGGGCGTCACCTTTGGGTCTGAAATCTGGGGAGTTTCGGACCGTGAGCTCCACTCGCTCAGGAGCAAGGGCATGGCCACTATCTCTCCCAAGTCTCAGCACCGTTCCCTCACCACCCTCTCGCCCCTTGAAGGGGACCCCCCTTGGAGGGCGAGCGTGGCCCCTATCATTCGTTGGTGCAAAGAGCTGTGGCTTGTGCAGACTAAAGCGGTTGATGGGGCCCTGTCGTTTGCTTCGATGCGTTCGGCCTGGGAAGTCACTTTCGGCAGGGATGACTGGTCCTGGGCCAAGGTGAAGGGTCCTGTCTCGGCCCTCAGGATGTCCTTATATCGCATTGGGTGGCAGATGACCGACTTCTGCACCATCATCTCTGGCCTGGGTGAGACCCTCCAGCTCCTGTTGCTGTCCCCCCGCCTTGTGGGGGCTTTGTGTCGGGCTGCCGTGTTGAGGGGGCTCGAACGGTCTTCGGGGGAGAAGCTGGGGGTCGAGCACAGGCTCTGCTGGGACATTATCAGGTCCAAACGTACCAGCCCTAAGGATCGGTCGACGATGCGAGCTTTGGCCTGTAATGCCATATGGACCGCCAGCTATGCGAAGCTAGCTGGCTACCAGATTAGCGACATCTGCCAGCTGTGCCGCTCCGAGGTTGACACATTGTGGCACCGTCTTTGGGAGTGCCCTTCGTGCTCTTCTGTGCGTGAAGAACTTGCTGATGCTGAGATGATTGCCAGCGCCCTCGACATTGCAGCGGAGGGGTACGAGGCTACTCTCTGGATATATGGAGCCTTTCGGCACCCTGGTGACTACTTCCCTCGGCCCGAGAGCAATGGAGAAGTCTTGGTCAACTGGATGGTCCCTGAGGTCACTATCCCTGGGTCCCTGGGTCCCACGCATACCTCTCCTGACTTAGGGGTCTGGGGGTCCTTGTTTATAGATGGCTCTTGCATCCGCCACCCTGTTTCTGAACTCTGCAGGAGCGCTTGGTGTGTTGCCATGGTGGACCCCGAGGCCAATTTAGTCTGTGAAGTTTCTGCCCCAGTTTGGCCCCCCTACGCACAGTCGCACCAGGCTGCTGAGTATTCTGCCTTTTGTGGCATTGGCGTGAGTGTAGGGGGCCAGGCTGACGCTTACAGTGACTGTGCTAATGTCGTTAAACAGCACTCCCTAGGCCTCGACGTGTGCGAGTCTCCCAAGAGGGTTTATTCTGGGCTAATGTTGCAAGGCTTGTCTTTGGGGCAAGGGAAGCTGCGCTCTCTGGCCAAAGTCGATGCCCACCTCGATCCAGATGCCCCTGATCTCTCTGCGGATGTAAGATTTTTGAGGAAGGGCAACGAGCTAGCAGATGCTGGAGCCAAGCGCGCAGTCGCCCGACACCCCGCCTTTGACCCCAGTCTGTCTCAGGAGCTCGACTGGAAAATTAAGGTGCCTAAGACGGTGATGTCCCTTGGTGCTGCCCTCCTCCCCCTTTGGCCTCGTGTGGAGTTCCTCGGGGTGGAGCGTGTTCCTCGTCCTCCTGCCCCTGCCGTGCATCGGCTGCAGCACCAATGGGAACTCATCAGTTCGGTCTGGAGGTGCCGAGTTTGCCTCCTAGGGTCCCTCTCTAAGCGCCCGCCTGAACCAGGGGGGTGCAGGGGCCGCTCCAGGCTCGACTCTGCTGTATTGGACAGGTTGGGGCATAAAGTCATTGCTCTGGCCTGCTCCGATAATTCATTTTTGTTCACTTGCCTGCACTGCAGGAGTTACAGTTCTGGGGCCCAGGTCAAGAAGCTGGGCCAGGTGTGTCAGCCGCCGACGGTCACAGGTCACAAGAACTGGAGAAGGATCCAGAAGGGCAGCCATCCAGATAAACCACACGTGGTGGTAGAGACTGGCTGTTCGTTACCTGTCTCGGCGTCGCTCGGTCGGCTCACCTCTTCCTCGCTCCCTTGCGAGCCTCACCTCCCTCCCCCTCCCGCTCTCGTCCCTCTCTCAGGGGCGAGGTCAGGTCAGGCCCCTGCCGCTGGAGGCCGGCCTGTGCAGCGCGCCCCGCCAGGCGGGGCCCCCGCTGCTTCGGAGGGGTGGGAGGTGGAGGATGAGGCTGCGGGTTTCCTGTTTTCGAGCGATTCGGACTGAGCCCCGTTTAATCCTGCCAGGGGTGTCTCGCTCTGCCAGGTTTAGATCATTCCCCAGACATTGCCGTGGACGGCAAAAAAAAAAGAGGAGGAGGAGGAGGAGGAGGAGGAGGAGGAGGGGGAGGAGGAGGAGGAGGAGGAGGTGGAGGGGGAGGAGGAGGAGGAGGAGGAGGAGGAGGAGATGGATGATTCGCCTTTGGAATGTTGTGGTTGGCATTCGTATTTTGTTTCTCATGGCCATGGCAACGGTTTTCTGGGAGGTTCTAGTGGCGACAAAACATGTATACCAGCGTGGACACGAAGATTGCACTCTGGATGCATGATATACATGGTGCCGCCTCCGCGGTGCAAATTACCTGGTGCCATACAGGTGCTTCAAGCTGTGCAGCACACGTTATGTAGGTGCAGGCTATGTCGTGCAATACATGTGGTGCAAACCATATGGTGCAATTTGTGTGGCGCAAGCTATGTGGCGCCATCTATCTGGTTCAAGCTATCGTGGCCCAAGCCATCGTGCGCAGCCTGCAGTGGACCCCGCGCGGGCGCCCACGGGCGCCCACGGAGGCGACGCCTCGGCGGAGCCGGCCAGCGCCTCGGGGCGCCCACCGGCGCCCATCGGGCGAAGCTTCGGCCGACCCGGCCAGCGCACGGGGCACCCACGAGGCGCTCACGGGCGCCCACCGGGCGACATCCCAGCGGACCCATCCAACCTTTGAGCAACCCGAGGAGGAGGAGGAGGAGGAGGAGGAGGAGGAGGAGGAGGAGGAGGAGGAGGAGGAGGAGGAGGAGGAGGAGGAGGAGGAGGAGGAGGAGGAGGAGGAGGAGGAGGAGGAGGAGGAGGAGGAGGAGGAGGGAGAGCATCGGTGCAAGCACCGTTCGGGGCAGATCCAGGACCTGTCCCAGGTCCCAGCGGCTGCCGTCGCGCTGCCTGTGCGCTGCCATCCCTCGCCTTCTATCGAGCGGGGTGCTTCTGGGGCGGGGCCTGTCCAGACCCTCGCATGACCCAGGAGACTCCCAGGAGCATCCAAGGAGTCTCCCAGGAGCATCTGACGAGCCTCTCAGGACCATCCCAAGAGCCTCTGAAGATCCTCTCGAGAGCCTCTCGGGATCCCAAGGTCCTTTCAAGAGACTGCCATGAGCATGTCACGGCCCTCTCATGACCATGACCATCTCAATATCCTCTGAGGAGCTTTAGGAGCCCCCTGGGATGATTCAAGTTTCCCGGATGTCCCTGGAGTTTCTGAAGAGGGGGAGAGAGGAGTAGGAGGAGGAGGAGGAGGAGGAGGAGGAGGAGGAATAATTGCAATAATACTAAGAAAAAGAAGAAGAAGAGGACGAGGAGAAGGAGGAGGATCAGGAGGAGGAGGAGGAGGAGGAGGAGGAGGAGAAGCGCAGTACCAGCTGAAAGAGGTTCACCCAAGTCACACGCACAAGCAAAAGTGAACAGGTTAAACCTCGTCCTCCTGCTCGTCGGGTTCGCGATTTTTCCGTTCAAGGACTAGCCGCCCTGGTTCTTCAGCCGAGGCGTGGGAGTAGGATCCAAGCATCGCGAGCCCGCGGACGAGGTCGACTCCTGACACCGAACACGGGGCAGGGTCCTGACGGGCACCTCAGCAAGGCCGAGCTTGGAGGCCATGAAGGCCCGGAGAAACCTCTGACAGGGAGGTGACCGAGGAGGAGGAGGAGGAGGAGGAGGAGGAGGAGGAGGAGGAGGAGAAGGCGGAGGAGGAGGAGGAGGAGGAGGAGGAGGAGGAGGAGGAGGAGGAGGGGCTACTCGACCAGCGCCACGCCAGCGGCGTTCTCGCACGCGCAGTACCACAGCCAGACCGAAGGACATTGCGCTGTTCCATGCGCCGCTCTCCGCAAAGCCCTGCGGGCCACAGGGCGCACCATTTCAGCAGTGCGCTCTTGATCCTGCCCCTGAGAGCCAGCCTGCGCGGCACCGTGGGAAGGGTGTTCGGGGGCCAAGGCTGATGGGACGGATTAAGGAAGAGGAAGGGGGGAAGGTGGAGGAGGAGGAAGAGGAGGAGCAGGAGGAGAAGGAGGATGAGGAGGATAACGAGAAGGAGGAGGAGCAGGAGGAGGAGGAGCAGCAGGAGGAGGAGGAGGAGAAGGTGAAACGGTTGCACGAAATTAAACAGTCGGAGGTCCGCGCGGTTTCCTTGGATTGGCGTTGGACCCCCCTCTCGCGCCAGAGACGGGGGACCCAGCGCCGATCCAAGACATCCGCGCGGAGCTCCGGACGTTTGTGAGCAGGCCGCATGGCTCGTCTGCAGTCTCTGCTCTGGCTCCCCGCCCGGCCGGGCGAGCGACGCAGCGCGGGAGTGTCGACCGCTCGACGGAGGCGCACGGAAGCAGAACAGCTGCAGATTCTCATCTTCCGCCCTGGGCTGTCAGCTGTCCACCGCCTCTGCCGTGCAGAGGCATGCGTGAGCCACGGGAAGAGAGCGTGGGAGTCGCGTGCGTCGTGCGGGCCTCTCTCTCTCTCTCTCTTTCTCGCCCTTTCCCCCTCTCTCTCTCTTTTTCTCATCCTCTCTGCCCCTATCTCTGTCTCTGTCTCTGTCTCTGTCTCTCTCTCTCTCTCTCTCTCTCTCATTCTCTTTCTCACAAATGTATGTACAAACATGCATACATGCATACATACGTACATACAGAGACAGGCAGTCAGACATCTATATATATGTATATATACATACACATGTATACATACATACATATACCATAGCAACCCGCAGTTGCGGATAAGAGTGATGGGGCGGAGGAGCCCGCCGCAGGTGTCGGTTTTCTAACGCATTAAACAAGAAGCCCGCAGCAGGCACCGAAGTTCGTCAAGGCAATACGGGTGGTTCGTGGGTGGGTCGCGGGTGGGTCGCGGGGTGAGTCGCGGGGTGGGTCGCGGGGTGGGTCGTGGGCGGGTCGCGGGCGAGAACGACGACGACGACGACGACGACGACGACGACAACAACAACCATTTTACCCTCATGCTCCATACTTCTGCATGACACATGCGTCCATCATGATGCCACACCAGGGAACTGAATGAAAAGGGAGACGATATTTCCACACCCAGATCTCCCGCCCAAGGATGTCGAGGCAACACCTCTCCCGAGGCACATTCACATTTTCAGCTCGCACGGCACATAAAAAGCAGTGCGACTACGGGGAGCAGTGAGGGTTCAAAACACGACTGATTCGAGCCCCAGGGGAGGGGCAGTCTGTAGGAGCATACGTTAACACACAAAGGATTCGAGCCCCAGTCGAAGGGAAAACATAGGAACATACGTAAAGCATGCAGGATTCAAACCCCAGTCGACGGGCAAATTATATGAACACTAGAGCACAAAGGGTTCGAGCGTCAGGAAAGGGGCCGCGAAGCTTATGAGGGCGAAGCCTACGGGAGAAACAGGCAAGTGCCCTCTGGGGCCTCCTGGGGCCTCCTGGGGGCGGGGGGGGCCAAAAGCGCTCCCCGAACACATAATTATCCCAATGCAGAAAAGCGTGTCCTGGGGCCTCCTGGGGGCGGGCGGGCGGGAGTGCCGAAAAACGCTCCCCGAACACATATCCCAAAACAGAATGGTGTCTCCTGGAGCCTTCCGGGAGCGGAGGTGCCGAAAAGCTCTCCCCGAACACATCTCCTAATACAGAAAATACCTCCTGAGACCTCCTGTTTGCGGGAGGTCCGAAGAATTGTCGGGACCCCCGCAAGTAGCCGCAAGACTGCTCTGACGGACTCCTTTGTGCTGTTGAATTGCAAGGAAGTCTCAAGCGAAACGGCCGTTCTGGCATCGGCGAGTGGCAGCAACAATGCTCTGAAGGACCCCCTGTAGTGTTGAATCGTGAAGGAGTCTCGAACGAAGAGGCCGTGCCAGCATCCGCGAGCAGCAGCTACCTGGTTCTGAAGGATCCCCTTCTGGTGCTGAATTGCGAGGAAGTCTCAGGCGAGAGCGCCCTTCCTGAGGCTCGGGCCCTCTCCGACTGGGGCCTCTCGGAGTAAACTGTGAGGGGGTGTCGCGCGGGAGCGTTGTTGTTGTCGTGGGGCCTGCTTCGGCGGCACCTCGGAACGTCGGGGCCCAGGAGACGGGGGTCGATGCAAACGGGGGTCAGTTGGAGCGCCAGATCTTGCAGGATCCTGCAAAGCCAGTGCTGCATTGGCCCGGGCTTGGGTGCAGGATCCCGAAGGACTCTGTAGGATCCTGCGAAGCTTGATTGACCCAGGTTTAGATTGACCTGGGTCAGTGTGTCCCCGAAAACGCTCGAGCGTGAGCCTTCAATTTCAACGGAAATGCAGCCGGTGACGCAGCGAGAACGCCAGGGCGTCAGTAGGGGTCCCAACAATAATGATCGTTTAGTAATTGATATTCAATCATGTTGAGATTGCTCGTTTTCAGATGCTCGCATGTCAGCCATCCTGTATATCCCAAACCCTCGATACCCGCCCTCTTCGTCTTCGATCATACCCCCTTGGGGGCATATCCTCCTTATCTGCGACGCGTAGTTGGCGCAGCCCCTAAAACAGGGGAAGCGAAGAGGGAAGGGATAACGTTGGGAGGGATTGATGGAGCACGACTGGGATGAGCAGGAAGTGGGTGAGCAGGAGGGGTGAAAGTAGCAGAGAAACAAACACAGCATATCCAGACGGGCGGGGCGGGTCGGGCGGGCCCAGACGGGCTGATCGAGCGGGCGGGTCGCCGAAGCGTCAGTCCTGCATGAATCGCGAGGAGCTCTCGAGCGACCGTGCGATTCCGGAGTACATCGTGAGGAAATGCACAACGAGAGCGTGATTCTTGAGTGTTGGGGGCGCGGCGAGTCAATACATCGCCGAGAAGCCCCACGTGAGAGGGCGATTCTTGCACACATTGTGAAGAGGTCCCGCGCGAGAGCTCGATTTGAATACATCCTGAGGAAGTATCAGGCGCGAGCCGTTGCTGTGGTAGTTCGGGGTCCAGCAGCCCAATCTGAGGCGCAAGATTTTCCTTTGTAAAAAACCGGGTGCGAGCATCGGGAGGAACACTTTAATTGAACAGCGAAGCAGGCACCGGTGGGGAGATCAGCAATAGTTCCTTTTGGAGAATTCAGAATTCAACGCAACAGCGCAACAACAATAATGCAACAGCGCAACAACAATCCGCACCGCGCAACCCCACTTCAAACACGCGCCCAGGGACAGAGGATGACGGTTCGGCCCCTCGTTCACATATGAAAGAGCGTGTTCTACCGCTGCTGGCGGAAAACCGGGGGGGGTCACTACCGGTTCGACCCCCCCCCCCCCAGCTCATCATGAAAAGGGGGGGGGGTCACTACCGGTTCGAACCCCCCCCCCCCCTCGAAAACCGAGTGGGGGTGCGGACAGTGGTGGGGACGGTGTTGGTGGGGACAGTGGTGAGGGGACAGCGGGACAGTGGTGGGGACAGTGGGGGGACAGTGGGACAGCGGTGGGGACGGTAGTGGTGGGGACAGTGGTGGGGACAATGGTGGGAACAGGGGGGACAGTGGACAGTGGTGGGAACGGTGGTGGTGGGGACAGTGGTGTGGGGACAGTGGGAATGAGGTGGAAACACTGGGACAGTGGAGGGTACAATGGTGGTGGGGACACTGGTAAAGGCGGTGGCGAGGACGGCGGTGGGACAATGGGACAGAGGTGCAGTGGGGACAGTGGTGGGGACAGCGGGGACAGTGGTGGGAACAGTGGGACAGCTCAGTGGGACAGCGGAGGAGTCAGTGGGACAGTGGGGACAGTGGGGATAGGCAGTGGTTGGGTCCGTGGAGACAGTGGGGAGAGTGGAACCGTGGTGGGAACAGTTGTGGGAACAGTGGGGACAGTGCGACAGTGGTGGGGGCACTGGTGGGGACAATAGGGACGGTGGTGGAACCAGCGGGGGCAGTGGTGGTGAGGACAGTGGTGCTGGGAACAACAGTGGGGGATGTCATGCGAGCGGTGGTAGGGACCGGGAGTCGTTTGCTGGCGGTGCGTGGGGGGGGGGGGTCGAACCGGTAGTGACCCCCCCCCGGTTTTCGAAGGGGGGGGGGGGGGTCTCCAACCGGTAGTGACCCCCCCGTTTTTCCGGATCCGGAGGGGGGGGGGGGAGGGTTCGAACCGGTAGTGACCCCCCCGGTTTTCGAGGGGGAGGGGGGGGGGGGGGGGGAGGGGGTTAGGGGGGGGGGGGGTTTTGGGGGGGAGGGGGGGGGGGGGAGGGGTTCCAGCAGGGGGGGGGGGGGATTTCGGGGGGGGGGGGGGGACCCCCGGGTTCCGGAGGAAAAGGTTGGCAATTTTCCACAGAACAGCGGCGGTGGATCACGCTCTCTCTCTCTCTCTCTCTTTCTCTCTCTCTCTCTCTCTCTCTCTCTCTCATATGTATATATATAGATACACATACATACGTACATACATACGTACATGTGTAAGCATGATGTATGTATGCATGCATGCGTGTATGCATGTATGCTTGCATGTGTATGTATGTATGTATGCATGTGCGTATGTATGCATATATGCATGATTATA